CTTGTGTAGTATATATTTTTATCATTGTGTATGCCAAAAATGAAAGTTTCTTTATTAAAAGTAAATGGTTTAACAGAGCATCTAATAAAAATTCAAAGTTCTCAAAAAATGTCTGCACTTCTTTGCACTCCCAAAATAAATGTATAATTGTTTCTATTTCTGTTTTACAAAGGAAACAGAGTGGACTATCAGTTAAACCAATTTTGAATAAATATGAATTTGTTGTTAATATGTGTTGGTTTATTCTGTATTGCAGCCAATTTAATTTGGAGCTTTTAGTAACTCGGACAGGGGTTGCATATATACTTCTCCAAGTTTCTTCATCTATTTCAAATATGTTGTTCCACTTTCTTTTTCCGGTAGGAATAGTGTTATTTCGACAAAGTATATTGTAGAAATCTTTCGACCCTTTACTGTTTCTCATGAAAATTTCTAAATCAGTTGGTAGTAAAGGGTAAGAGATGCTCTCATCATCTAAACGTATCTGTGCTGTATATTCCCTGATGGATTTTACAATGCCATGGTAAGTTAGGAAGTTAGAGTTGATATTATATTTTCTCTTAAATTCCTGAAAATTGTAAAGGTAGATGTATTTGGAAATTTAACTACATCATTAACAATAACAATTCCTTTGTTATACCATTCTTTATAAAATACCATTTTTCCATTTACAGTAAAATTTTCATTAAACCAGATAGGTGTTTTCAAAACTGAATCATTCCCATTTACCAAAGTCTGTTCTTTCTCTTCAAGACATCTCCAACATTTAAATACATCTTTCCAAAACTGTTTTTTTACACTTCATTTCACATTCTTTTATGTATCCTGATCCACAGTTAGCCAAAATGCCTAAGTCAACACCTTTTTCTAGGATACTTTGCCACTTACTTGATTTAGAATATAATCTTCTAATCCATGTTAACTTCAGCGCTCTAATAAAAGAATGTAAATCTATCATTTTCAGACCTCCTTCAGTATAGTCTTTTATTATAATATCCCTTTTTACTTTGTCTACTTTACTATTCCAAAGAAAGTTGTAGAGTTCTGAGTTTAGTCTTTTAATAAAGGATAAGTCAGGATTTGGCAAAGCTATGAAAAAGTGGTTGAATAATGACACCAGCAATGATTTGATTATGTGTATTTTACCAATAGGAGTAAGTTTCCTTTTATTCCAGTCATTTAAAAGGGATTTAAGTTTAACTATTTTTTTGTCAAAATTAATTTTTACCATTCTATGTAAATCTACATGGAAGTCAATACCCAAAATAGTAAATTTCCTGTTTCCCCAATGTAAGTTCCATTCTGGACAAAAGTTTTCCTCACTGTATTTCATGCTTCCTATCCAAATGACTTCAGTCTTACTTTTGTTTATCTTTAACCCAGATATATCTGCATATTTTTTTAATTCACTCAGTGTCTCTCTTAAAGAATTTCTAGACCCATCAAGAATGACTGATGTATCATCTGCATATTGAGATAATAATATAGGAGTGTCTTCAATATTTATTCCTCTAATATTAACATTATTTCTAATTCTAATTCCTAGTACCTCAGCGCATAAAATAAATAAATATGGAGAGATTGGGTCACCTTGCCGACATCCACGTTTAATATTAAAAAACGGAGACAAATTCCCCCCCTGATTAACAGATGAGTTTGAGCCATTTTGAAAAATATGGACCCATTTCCTTATATCTTTCCCAAAATTAAAAAATTTAAGCACTTTATCAATAAAATCCCAACTAACCGAATCAAAGGCTTTTTCAAAATCAACAGTCAGTAACATACCTGGAATATCATTTTCTTCAGCATAGTGCATAATATCGTATATAATTCTAGTATTTTCACCAATATACCTACCTGAAATAAAGCCAGACTGATCTATATTTATAAGTTTATCTAATACCTTTTTCATTCTAGTCGCTACTGAACCTGAAGCAATTTTATAAACTGTATTCAGAAGTGAAATAGGTCTCCAATTTTTCAAGTATTGTCTTAGCTTATCTCCCTTTGGTAAACATGTTATGATTCCCTGCCTCTGTGTTACTGATAGTTTGTTGATACTAAACCCATATTGTATTGATCTTACCACAAAATGACCTAGCTGTCTCCAAAAACATTTAAAAAATTCTACTGTAAACCCGTCTGAACCTGGACTTTTATTATTTTTCATATTTTTAAGAGTATGAGATGTCTCATTAAAGGTGATAATACCCTCTAAATTGTTTGACTCTATAAAATTCAGTTTTGGTATACTATCATCATTAAGATATTCATTCAAGTTTATATTATGTAAATGTTTGTCTTCTGAATACAATTTTTCATAAAACTGTTGAACTTCATTTAAAATTTTCAATTTTACAATATTTGACGTTGTCGTATTTGTTTATAACTAATAGCAAACATTAAATATTATTTCACACCCAATACCTTGTCCCTTTTTATTAAATCCTAGTGAATCATATACATTTGTCAAGGATAGGTCCTTTTATGTATTCGGAGTTTACATGTGAAGCAGCCAAAGAATAAGAGGGAGAAATGCTGCCTTAATGGGAAGCAAACTTTTCCAGCGCGGTGTAACTCTGGACTCACTCATTAAATCAGCAACGTCGAGCGTGCATGTGGTCATTGGCTGGGTGGGTGCATGTGGTCATTGGCTTGGTGGGTGCATGTGGTCATTGGCTGGGTGGGTGCATGCGGTCATTGGATGGGTGGGTGAATGTGGTCATTGGCTGGGTTGGTGCATGGGGTCATTGACTTGGTGGGTGTATGTGGTCATTGGCTGGGTGGGTGGATGTGGTCATTGGCTGGGTAGGTGCATGTGGTCATTGGCTGGGTTGGTGCTTGCCCACGCGTTATCAATGCGCGGGACCTATATATGTCGATATATATAGAACAAGAACACCACAGAAAAGGTATGAATAGCTTAACCGTGATACACAATCGTAACACTTGTCAATAATGTAAACACCCATAATGTTATACATAAGGAGACGTACTGTTCCTGAAGGCCGCAATTTTCCGTTCTACACATTTTGTACATGCACAAAATTACATTGGATTATCTCAGTTCTTGTCACATTGCATCATAGTATGAATGAGGAGAGTTTGTTAGTTGGTACTTACTTGGGCTATGGGCTGTGCCGGGTAGCTGGGAAGGGCCTGCTGTGGATAGCCATACTGAAAGGCTGGGTTGTGCTGTCCCTGTTGTCCCTGGCTAGGATAAGCGTTATGTGGAGCCGCCATATTTGACACGTCTGTTTGACTTTAGTGTTGGTATTCCCAGTATCTAGGTGGTACCCGTCCCTTTTCTGAGAAGAAGTTGAAAATGACCTACTTACATTAATTGACGTTGTAAATACGCTCTACTGCACAAGGCTGAGGAAAGGGCTGTAGAGTGTATAACTCTGTTATGAATGAGCGGTTTCCTTCCCTTTTGCCGTGTTAGGTTCCAAACTGAGACAATATAGACAGCAATGATTGTTATTTTAAACATAGTATCAACCCTAATATTATAAAAAAAAAACGTGAACACTATCTAGGCCTTCTTAAATCACTACATAAATTAACATGTGAGTGTTATATGAATGACTATTATTTGTTAATCAAACTGATTATATTATTGATGTTTAATTTCTGTTACCCTANACTGTAATAAAGTAAGACCCTACTTACCTAGCACACTCTCCAGTAGATAGGCCGACACTAGTGTATTCATACTTGCTAAATGACCCGCATTCTGCGGGTCACACCCGCAAAATGAACCTATCACCCGCGACGATCTTATGACCCGCGCGGGTCATACGTATCTCCCGCATTCCGTAGATATGACCCGCAATCACCCGCATCCGCGTCTTTTATTAGGATCTCCGTACTTCCGGAAATGTTCCGTTCGTGTCTCTCGGAAGTTTAGCTTTCAGTTATAGGTAAAGTCCGTATACTAAGTTATTTGTTTTCACAATGGCGTCCCTGTTTCGGAACCAGCCTGGCAAATTCAAAAGGTGAGTACTGTTCACTGTTACTACAATGCATATAATCCCGATCGTAGCGCTTGTCATTTCACTTTCACAAATGGCTTCTAACCCGAGAAAACGTTCGTTATTTTAATGTTCATCGTCAAAAAAGAAAAAGTATGCCTGTAATTACAATGCTTCGTGGGAATAAGATTATGACTGGCTTCAGAAGAGTAATATTGGACCCGATCATGCCTATTGTAAACTGTGTACCAATCATTTTTCGGTAGCTTCGGGTGCTACGTACGATATCAAAAGGCATGCAGTTAAAGAACCCTTTGAGAATGATCTTAAGTTTGGTGTGTTGTGTAGGCTAATGAAGGCATGTTTGGTACTTTCAGTGGGTAATGCTGACTCTGAGAGAACATTTTCCATGCTGAAGAAGATCCAGACAGAAGGGAGATCTGAATTAGGAAATGATACAATATGTGCTTTGTTATGTGCAAAACTAAATCAACATGGTTCATGCTTTCAGTATGCACCTAGGAAAAGAAAAACATGTATATTGATTAAGAATATGTAATAAAACAATGAAGGTGTGATAAAATGTTTTGTTAATTTCAAAGAAGTCATTGATCTTGTCAGAAGACAAAACATATTACGCCGTAAAGCCGAGACCCCGCGAAATTATTAAATTTTCACAAAACTTTTCGTTCACGCGTTATCACCCCCCACAGAATTTCCCAATGGGGGTCATGACCCCCATTGGGAGATTCAAAGGTTAGCAGGTCTGCACACATACAATGTATGACTGGAGCTCCAGACCCCAGTATATATCCGTCACACCTGGTATGTTGACAGCACAATGGCTATACGGTGGACAATGCTAATTAAACACCAGAACAATGATTACGATCAGAGCGCATTCAAAATAAACGATAACAATGGCGGATAATGTCAGGCTAATTATAGTCAATGCTTTGTTTTTGTTTTGTACAGGGTATCACGCCTTCGCAACAACTACATACAGAATCATACGAAGACGGGTACATGGGGAAGAACGAAAATGTTTGAGAGAAAAGAAAAAGAAAGTTGGAGTACCGAATGTTGCAATATATTGACGTGAACCCGTACACAGCACTGGTGCCTTTAATAAATTTCAGCAACAAGCAGAAAGCGACTAAACAGACACATTTTTTTTATATTATTTTTCTTTTTCAAACTTTCTATTAAGAATCCGGATCCTTGTCCGACTGCAAACAAAACAATGGGGAATCAATCCCACTCTGTACGCACATTAAACCACCACAGGGACCTGATAATTTGTTACAGCAATAATTGGACCTAAACTAAGGTGTTCAGAGTAATTTTACTCATATAGAGGTTTAGATAAACTTTCTGTAAAAATGACAGCCCTATATGGTGATATACGTATAATGTCATTATTGGGGGTGGAATTTTAATTGAAATATCGTCTAACTTGGTTTAGGTCCAAACATAGCAGTAACAAATTATCATGTCCCTGTGCCGTTGACCAGGTACATGAAGCTTTACAAAGATCAAAGGGTAGGTGAAATACTTAATTCATAAAATCAGTTTTTTTAGACTGCCCTCCCAAAATGCTTGTTCGATAAGGAAAACAAAGAGAATCCCAGCGCTCGGAGTTGTCGGCAATTTTCTGATATAGAGTTGTTTGCCCATTTACAGAAGCAAAGAGTCATATACATAGAAAGTTATTTATTTTCTTGCTTTTAGAAAAGAAAAAAATGAACATCTTCGCCTCGGTGACTCGATCTCCATACCTTTTAACTTTTAACTAAGTAGAGAGTATCCATTTTGCTATCGGTCCTGACATTTGAAATTATGTCACATGTTATAACTTCCTAAAAAGGCATGCAACATAAAATTGTTTTTGTATGACTATAGATGAAATGCATATACAATGTGCATTCGGCAGGGAAACAACACAAGGCTTCAAGTAGAAAGTGGTGGACACTGTGTTCAATTATTGAGGGTGCTTTAGTGTAGTGATAGATAAGCTTCACTGCGGTAAGATACTAGTGCAATGTCACAGCACAATATTCGGAATAATTAAAGCAACTAAAGGAACGTACCTTTTCAAAGATTATCATTTCAGTAATATGCACCCAACGAACATTTGTTCATTGGGATCCAGTGCCCATATTAAACCGTCATTATCACATTGTACCTATTAAAAACAATAAGATAATACCAAGTATCAATATAACTGTCATCCGAACTGAAAATCGATAAAACTAGGACAAAATAAGAGAAGGAAATATTTACATGGAGACCCTTGAAAAGACCAAGGAGAATAAGACCAGATGTTCCAGATGTGTAAGCGTCTTCAGTTTTTAATCGACGACACACGCCATACAATTCTAAGTCAAATCCAAATAATGTTACGTCCCCGAAGGGGGAACTGGGGTAGTGACAATACAAAAACAAGACACGCTGATGAGCATAATAAAAAAAACATCGACCTCCACATCACACAAAGAGATAACATATTTATCAATGAGATCCTGATGGCGACTATAAAACTTGTACTTCTTTGGAAATTTTTATATTGTTAGTTTTCCCGTCAGCAGTCAACATCTAACACGGAAGTCAAATTATAATCAACTGCGTCATCTGAATACCGTATGTAGGAAAGTAACTTTACAGAAAGGGAAAGTTTACGAACGGATATCGAAATCTTCTCGCCTATCCTTCATCTCAGTAGTAAGCCATCCCTGTGTTTCATGTTGTCAGTTAATATCGAGGTAAGCTGCTGTAGTAGGAGAGTCTGTAGTGCCCTGGATTTCAAGCTCAGGTACATTGATCGATGTAGTCAATACACTTATTGTAATTCAAATACAGCTCATCTTTGATATATGTGAATGCGAGATGAAGGTTTCTATTACAAGTCCTAATAGTTTACCCTCATACAAACAAAATCAAACCTGACTTTATGCTACCTTTACCTATACATAATTAACTAAGTTTGATATCACTATCAAAGATCAAAACGGACGGTCACATAAGTGTACAAAACAACACTCTGTTGATTATAATGTTTCATGCTAAACCGGTTTCTTTGATTTTCTTTGAGATTTTGTTGTAGGGTATAGCCCAACTAGTCCTCAAATGTTAAAAAATAAAACAGCAGTTTTCTTTTTATTAAGCCAAGACCTATTAATCAACTTAACCGGTCTATTGACTAGCTGGAGAACGTACCAAACAATGAATAGCTTTTTTTAAATGCCCGTTTGTTTTAAATGCCCTGGCAGAACCACAAGTTACCAGGTCTGAACCAGCTTAATCCTGTATGTTTCGGCCAGCTAGTACCGTCTCTGGCCTACATGTGTTGATCTTGTGGTTCGCTGTAAGGGGATATTGTAGGTAGGATATAATATATTTGACCGAGTTGGTCGACATAAATACGTATATATAGGCCCCAAAACGGATTCATAAAGATTCATCAACAGGAATTTGCTTTCCTGTTGTTTCAAAATTACACATGCTGCGTCATGGAGCGATATTATAGGGTACATAGGATTTCAGACGTTGTTATTGCTATTATTTAAACAATTAAAAAAAGGATTTTTTATTACCTATAAACACGCATGCGTCATATTTCCTGACTTAAGCAAAAAACGACTTATACAGCCAAAAGTCTAGTTGCTTCGTAATTTTATTTTAAATTTAAGTTAGGGCAAATGTATTTTTTGATTAAATAATTTGGAAGGCAATTAGATTGTAGCGGATTTAATCGCTAATTTCATTACATCGACTTTAAGTTCCCAAACAGTTTTATAGATATCATTGAAGCTAAGCACATTTCTTTATCCACTATCCAATTCACCTGTACATTCATCAATTCAACAAACCTATCGAATAGTTTGCTAATATAAGGTCACCCCCCCCTGGACGCCTTTAGAAAAATTACCGGGTATAGGGTTTTAAATTCCAGGTTCCTGGTCATTTATGCGGAACAACCGGTTCATCTGTTTTTAAATTTAACATGTTTGGTGTAACTCCTGGCAGACCTGAAAAAGTTCATGCAGGACTTGCAAGGCTTTCTCAATGCTCTCCTGAAAACAGCATCTGATTGTATTACTAGGTCTCACTTTATTTAACAAACGAACAATTGAATTACAATAGAATCAAACGTTTTTATCGCGATAAAAGAAGGCGGCCCAGGTCATCACTTGGTCGTGTCTGATATCCTTAGCAATAGTACAGTTGCACTTATAACAATAGGAGAAATATAATAGAAAAGAATTGTGAAACCTTATTTCTTACACACCTCCATATGCACAGTGGAATCATTCTAAGATGATATCACAGCGTAAAATCCCCGGACACAGTAGTTATAGTATATAACTGAGGCTGTAAACACGCCGTCAGACAGAAATTTAATTCGCTGTACACAGTCATTTTAAACAGCTTAACGACTTATCATTGTACGCTGGACACATTTTATGTTGAAGATTCTTGAACATACAATTTACAAAATACCCTTGGAAATCAAATACGGTTTTTGTGAAGTCTCCTAATCTTAATCCTTATTCGTCACGAAAGGTGTTTTTTCTATCATATAAAACGTGTATTTACAACAAACCACACACACATACTTCCTGTTATTACATTAGTCGTTAACCACAAGTTCCGCACGGAAACATTTTTAGTCAGTTGTACCAGTTAGCACCAAGCTAACACGCATGAAACTTCTAACATTCATTCGCAGCATAAAGCATACTAAAATTTCAGTGATAACGCTTGGACCAACTTAAAATCTTTCAAAAAGCCCTACGATAATAGAACAGGCAGGGAAAATACGATGGGGTCAGACCTGGATTCGAACCCGGGGATTCTGAACAATTGACAAACACTCGAATCAACTGAGCTAACAGCGATCGACACTGTTCAGTTTCTCTCTGGCAGCACCGTGTATAGCGGAGGTTGGGCTGCTGTTGTCAATCGAAGGTGTTGGTACTTCCGTTTCGGAAATCCGCCATCCACTTCAGCACTGTTTTGGCAACTTTGTATTCGCCTTTACATGGCTAACCAATAAGTTCTTCTTCTTCATGTTTTTAAATGTAACAATGCATAACTAGTACCTCCCAATATATGTATATCACTCGTTATTTCCTTTTTCAGTGATGGAAAAGGTTCATCACGTTGAACACATTGTCATTTATGCAACGTTTCAATTGATAATATCGTAGCAATTTATGTTTATCAATAAATATTTATTTGATGTTCCTCCCTCGTTTAGGTATTTGGCTACGAGTTACAGAATACGCCTGACGGAGCTGTCCTTATAACGAAACTCAAACCTCAACAGGTTTTATCAATAAGGTCAACGAGCTGGTATTGACATTCTT